CAGTGCTGCTGTCTTTTTCGCACGCCTCCTGTGCGTCGACGCGAAACCGCAGTGGATGCGCGTCTGCGACGACTGCAGCTGCGGATGACGCGAATCGGTAGCAGATAACACAGGGCATGCGGCTGGCGCGGAACTGCATTGGTGGGCGCACACTTCGCGCGATAGAAGCGACGACTTGTCGTTCATCAGCAGCTGTCGATCTGCTGCGCGTCTGCTGCATCATTTTCGTGTCCGCGCTTGCTGCATCTTCGTAGGCCTTTCTCCCCATGCTTTGGCAATCAGGCCAAGTTTGCTCAAACTTCACCTATGTTGTCCTGTGATGCTCCCCATACACTCCAGTCGACACACGGTAGTAGCCGGAGTTGCCGAACTTCATCAGCTCGAGGGTTGCGCATGCCGACGAACTCCAAGTATCCCAGAAAACTGTACTCCATATATGCAGAAACGTCCTCTTTAAGTATGCAGTGCACACCAGGTATGCAGAAATTTGCACACCAGGTATGCAATAGCGTCCACACCAGGTATGCAGAAATGTTTTCTCCCATGTAGATTCTCCGTTCTTCCCTCGCGGTTGTGCCGTTCATTAGCACCAACCATTCGCACGATACTACTGCTTCACAACGGATGACGACCGGCTGCATCCATTCTGCCTGCTCCCCCTGCCTATTGGCAACCCTTGGTGAGTAGGTCTTCCACTTATGCACTGTGACTCCATGTCTCACTCCAGTGCCACCAGATACACTCCACACCCCAACCCCCCCCCACCCATGCGCTTGTAGTCATGCACGTAACGCCGTACACAGTTACAAGCACATGAGTGTGGAGTTAGGTGATGCCATGTTGTGCAGCACCGTTCGAGGTGGCCGCGCAGATGAGTACAACACCAGAATCCTTGACTTGATGATTGCCTTGACCAACCAGCAAATTGCAGGTGAGATGCTACTTGCTTGGCTTGTCCACCTCATTTCCCACATCATCATTTTCCACGCCTTCCGAAATGGAAACACCAGTCACAGATACGCCATCAGCTGTACCTCCGCTTCCTTCAACTGCATTGACTTCATCAGCTACATCAGCTCCAGGTAAGTCTTGTTTTGCATATTCTGCTCCTTCGCCTTCATGTCCTTCAATGGTCGAGAATGCAGGAACCGAATCCACTACGGACCTGTGTCCTCCTCCCCCTGAAGTCCACACCACACAGTGGGGTGAGACTTCATCCGTATCAACATCATGTGCCGGATTCCGCACGATGCAGGCTTTGTGCGCCAGGCGGTATGTGACAGAGGCATGTGCAGACTTGCCACTCGACTGCATCCCAGGTGTGCGGAAATCCGTGCTCTCATGTGCGTCAATGTGCACACCAGGTGTGCGGAAAAGGGTAACCCCCTCACGATCAACCTGATGCGATGACGCGTCATAACGGGAATGTCCAGGATCATGGGCGGATGTAAGTGCATGCGCATATTGCACCACGAGCACTCCATCCACGTTCTTAGCAAATCCAATCCGCACGTACTCCTCTCCATCTTTCATGGTGACCTCCGCGTCTCCATTAGCAATTGTATTGATGTGCGCTCCCTTTTTCAGCAGCTGACAATAGGAGAGCAGGTTACTCTTCAAGCCAGGTACGTAGAGGACGTCAGTGTACCGAACTGTTGTCCCATCAGGTGCCGTTGCTCTGATCGTTCCTGTCATCTTGCTGCTCAGCTCGCTCCCATTAGCAAGCTCCACATAAACAGGTTCGTCCAGCTCCCTTAACTCTTCAAACCCACTCGTGTCCGAAGTCATGTGCTGGCTGCATCCACTATCCAGCATCCAAGATGACGCTTTAGCTGGCGGTAAGGTAGCTTGTGACGATCCCATCATTGCAATGCACGTAACAGTACGTTGTTTGTCTTCCCCGGCTGCCCCTTGCTGTTTTGATGCATTGTTGTCACGTTTGGGGCTGCAACTCCTTCGTGGGGAGGACGAACGGCTGTCGCTGGTGTGCAGTTTTGCCTTTCCGCGGTTATGCGGTTCCCACCCTGGTGGTGTCCACCCAGGGGGTGCCTTGGTACACTTGAAGAAGGGGTGGCCAGGCTCCTTGCAGTACCAACACACGATAGATGAGCGACTTGCATCTCCATCCTTGCCATGCGTTTTCTCCCCAATTGACCCCTCCTTCCCGTTATTGCCCTTTGCAGTTGGAGAAGGTGAGCAGTCTCCACGTGCTTGTCCAACCATGCGAGGTGGACGCCGGTCACGGTTATCCTTAGTGATGAGATCGTGATATCTCTGCTCCCGAATCATCATCCACTGCAAAGTGAAGCTGTCCGTCACGTTGTGCAGCATTGCCGAGTGCCTCATCTCCTCCCAATGTGCCGGTAGTCCGGTGAGTAGATTTAAGGTGAATGTGTCCTCATCCACCATCTTTCCCGCCAGTGCCAACTTGTCCCGAATCGCCGTTGCGCGGTTCACATACTCCTCCACCCTCTCTTAATTCCCCATTTTCAGGTTGTCCAACTGCTTCATGAGAGAGACCTTCGCCACCGAATCTTTGGCCTGGTAAGTGTCCATTAAGTACTCCCATGCTTCATATGCCGGGCTATAGGATTCCTGGAACATGTCCAGCTGTAGCTGAATCGTGGCGCTCACGCTGTGCAGTAGGACCCAAAAAGCGAGCGCCGCACGTTGTGAGTAGTCCGCCTGTAGCATTTCCAGCCGCTCCATAGCGCCGTTAATGTCACCATTTCCCATGGTAACCGGATACTGCAGGGTCACAAAGAACTCCCACAGATTCGTGACGCGAGCGTTCATACGAAACCGTAGTGCCCACTCCCGGAAGTTCGAGCCATCAAACGGAGTAGTGGTGAATGCTTTGTCCACCGTTGCTCCCACCATTTTGCGTGACAGTCGTTCCTTGTCTTCTTCCGTGTATTCGCGTGGAGCGGGGTCGAAGAGAGTAGGCACGGTTGACGGTCGAGGTAGTTGTACCGTGCGCCGCATATCTCCATTCTGTCCACCAAGTTGACGTTCCAACACTTCCACTTGATCCCGTCGCATGACACCACTTGACTGCATTCCGTATCCCATCCGCCCCATGCTGTCCACATAGTGTGCGCTGATTGGTGGACGATGTGCACGTGGAGGGATGATGTTGTCGCCATGAAGGTGAGACCTGGGCATGGGAAGAACTCCAATGGGATGGGAGTTGGTCGCAAGTCGTCGTAGTGGGGGAGCACCAATAGTGTAGGAGGCGAATCCCACACCTTCCACGCCCACTTCACCATTTCTGTCACCCTGATGCCCAATCTGTCCACTTCTCATTCCACCAAGCACTGCACTCCAATACTCATCATTCCTCCCCCGTGCTTCCCTTTGCATGGATGATTGAGGTGCGGAATTGGCGATCTCCTCTCCTTGGACGGATGCATCCCTCCATTGGGATGATTCTCCTACTTGAGGTATGCCCAGTTCCCTTTCACCATCAATTCCTGCATGAACATTTGCACGAGTTTGGTTAGTACGTGGAGTGCTTGAATGAGATTGTCCATGGGTGGACGGATTGCTGAACTCATGAGAGAGTTTTGCTCTTGGCTGAATTGTCATTCCAAACTTGTCCCTTAACGAAGCTTGGAGAGTTGGTGGTGCCCTTGCAATCATGCTTTCCAGATGCTCATGCTGAGCCATGATGGCTTCTTCAAAAGCCGCATATCCAAGATCCACTTCGCCATCGAAGTGCGCCATGACCTTGACAAAACCGTCCACCAAGTGTGCGGTAAACGCGCGGTTGTAACCAACAGCGAACACCAGGTGTACGAAAGCGTAGACCGGGTGTGCGGTACTCTGACTGTATGCAGGTCCCTATCCGAAGTGATTGCTAACAACTTTTATAGACCAACTTTGGCAGCATGCCCCCTAGAGTAGCTCTGATACCATGCTAGAAAGACATAGTGCCAGCGTAGCGGAAACGTGTTTGTAGAAAAGAACAAGATAGAAATCTTGCATTGATCATTGAAAAGTAAAAGGATGACACAATGAGTACTCAATGATGTGACAGAGCAGGGTATATATGCATCCAGCTATCCCTCCAGAATGACCCATTCACACCAATAATGGTGTACCAATAATTGTACCCTCTACCCTCCAATAATGCTGACCTCCAATAATTCTGGCCCTACAATAATTGTGACAATTATTGTAGGAGCTGGAGGCTTATAAAGAGGACTACACTAAAACCAAACAACACACTGGTATACAATATTCGTTATACTGTATTCGGATTTCCAACAAGTAGCACAATAGGGAGTACAGTTGTTAGGGTTGCATATTTGTACTCTCACACTTTCTAGTTTCCACCATTCCGTTGCATTCCTATTCTAAGAGATGCAACAATCACGATTGGGGGGAGGTGACAAGATCGTGGTGCACCCGTTACGGTACATTCGTTAATTGTCTCGAAATAGGGTATCCGTGTAAACTGTGATGCTACAGTTTGACTGTAGCATGCCAAACATTGATCCTACGCAGGATCCATCGAGCTAGGTGACGCGTCCTAATGTTCTGCAGAGAAATACCATAGAAATGTTTTGCCTTGGCAAGGTAAACGTGAAACTTATTTTCTAATAATTGTGTGTACAGGTATCAGACAAGGCCGCGGTGTAATTGGGACTGAACCACACGCACATTCGCTATTCCAACAATTTTTGAGGCCACGGTTTTATCGACAATCCACATCCCCACTTTCACAAAGCCGTCTCTGAGCGTCAGCCTGACGCAAAGGCCAGGACTTGCCAGTGGTAGGATCCTAGGTGTCGTAGGAATTTGGAAGTCCATGAACGAACCAAACGACTAATTTATCCGCTTTAATTTTTACCATGTAGGCGATTAGGATTCACCTTTGAAGAGCTCTTGAAGCATAAGCTTCCGCGTGGCCTAGTTATGCCACCTATTTGGAATGTATGAGCGAGTGAGGTGAAGGTCCTCCACTCGGCGTCGCGATCGGAAACCACGCGAGTATTATGTCGCATATTAATGGCCACGGAGCCAATGGGAATGTGTTCACTCGAGGCTTTTCGACTCACAATGACGCTGTTCCGTCGTATTCATATCCCTTAGGCGCAGCGAAAGCTACGACTACTGGATACCCTTTGAATCAGAATGAGTTCGCGGAGCCGAGTGATAGGGGTTTTGATGGAGGAAACGGCATGGGAGGAGGAGGCGGTGGAGGTGGAGGAAGAGGTAGAGTTTTCGGTGGCGATGAAGAGAATAAGCAGCGGTTTGAGGCTCAGGGTCCGAGAGAATCAAGTCATTGCGTGGACGAAGGAGCAGCGGCCACGTGGATTTATCCTTGTAGGTTTGCCGACGGGATAGGCGGCTGGTAAACTAGCAGGCTCCTGCAGTCTACATGAAAGTTAGCATTGTACTATCCATTACCCCTAATTTGTGTCTGTTAATCTTCCTCGTAATCCTAAAGACATTTCCGAGCCAGCATTTTTCCTCCTCTATTGCAATTCACACTCTTTTCTTGTCTCCCTCGCAGCCAATCGCGAGCTTCGCCAGTACCAGTACGAAATCGCGGAGGCAGCTCTCTTCGCCAACACCCTGGTCTGCCTTCCAACAGGCGTGGGGAAAACCCTCATCGCCGCCGTTGTCATGGCCAATTACTACCGCTGGTTCCCGCACGGTCAGTGAATGCACACGCTGATTAGTGAGTGCTTGAGTGAATTAACATCAGCTCGATAATCAGGCGTCATAGCAGCTTTAAACCCTCATTGCCGCTGTTGTCATGGCTAATTACTACCGCTGGTTCCCACACGGTCAGTGAAAACACTGATAAGTGGACGCATCAATGCTGACCCACAGGTTTCACAGCAGCTAGTTGATTAGGCTTTTTAGCAGCTTTGAACCCTCATTGCCGCCGGTGCCAAAGTCAACTACTAACGCTGGTTCCTGCCCGGTCAGTAAATGCACACAATGGTCAGTGGATTTACCTATGCTGACCCACTGGTGTCGTCAGCTTTGAATTCTCACCTCATTGCCACCGTTGTCATGGTCAATTACTGAGACTGGTTCCCGCACGGTCAGTACATACACTGATCAGTGGGTGCATCACTGCCGAACCACACATTTCACAGCAGCTAGTTGATCAGGCTTAAGAACAGCGACCCTCATTTACGCCGTTGTTAAGGTCAACTGCTACTGCTGGTTCCCGCATGGTCAGTCATTCTGACCACTACACACTACTGGCTGACAGGATTTATAAATGATTTATTTTAGCAGCGTTTAGAGGCTGATGTCTTCTTCGCTCCATTCATGGTGGTGACCATGGCGGTTTCGCTCGAGTTTCAGACATGTCTCGGTTTCACTCTTAGTGCGCATCACATTGTTGCTACACTCACGTTTTTTTTCATTCCTCCATCGTCAATATGTTTGCATCCACGCATGCTGGTCTTTGTGCATGTGTGCACGCATGTGGTCTCGGTGCATGTGTGTGTGCGTGTGGCTATGGTGCATGCATGCATGCGCTGCTGCATCATCATCAGGCAAGATCGTGTTCATGGCTCCCACGCGTCCCTTGGTGCTGCAGCAGATCCGAGCATGTCATAACGTCATCGCCATCCCACAGGTAAGACCGCTTGTTGCTGTAGAAGAATTACCATTTACCTGATCATCTCCATTCCTCCCATTTTTCTAATTAGCTAAATCTCGAGCTTTAGGCAAGATGAGTTTGTAGTCTAGATTGTCAGTTTGGTACCTTCAGGTGATTCAGTGAGTCCAGTCCAGTCTATGTTCATGCGAGACAAGGTCCTTTGTTTTTCGCTTCTCATTCCCTCGTGCATCCCCGTTTACTCTTCCACTTATCTTGCTGCAAACTTCTATTTTCCGTTCAGGAACACACAAGGCACATGACAGGGTAGAAGCCCTGGGGGAGCACTGGTCGGGAGGGAGCAGAACCATTGTTTCGTATCCTTCGATTTCCTTCTCGTCTCACGTTTTCTCTTAGGAGCACTCTATGCACATGACAGGACAGATGGCGCGGGAGCAGCGGGCGCAGCACTGGAGGGAGTAAAGGTGCTCATTTCCGTTTTTTTCCTAGGAGCATACTCATTCACTGCCCCCTCCACCACCCCCCAGGAGCACACGATGCACATGACGGGGCAGATGGCGCGGGAGCAGAGGGCACAACATTGGAGGGAGCGGCGCGTGTTCTTTGTCACAGGGCAGGTGCTGCTGCAGGACATGGTGCAGTGGGGTGAGTGGTGGTGCGGAGTGGTGACTGGTGCAAAGGACATGGTGCACTGGGGTGAGGGGTGCAAAGGGCGTTTTGCGGTATGCACTGTTGCAGTGCATAATCCCGTTCACAGTGGAATGCGGTGATGCACGGTACAGCACACGGTGCATGTGTTGTGGATAAGCCAAGGCATCTTGTGCCTGAACTGACTTTTCAAGTGGGTTGATTCCGCCTGTTTATGTGCAGCTGCTTGTCTGGGTAGTTAGTTGTTGTATTGTATACAGTGTATTGTGTCTGGTGGTGGTGGATGAAGCCCCAACACGTTTGAAGACCTGAATCAAAAAGAGTCACAACTTAGCCGGAATGTCTCATCACCTGTTGTGTCTGGTGGTGGATGAGGCCCATCACTCTACAAAGCTGGAATTAAAGAGCCGGAATCCATGCTCTCATGCTCCATTATCCGATGCCCCCATACACAGGTGCCTGTCCGCGTGAGGCCATAGTGTGTCTGGTTGTGGACGAGGCCCACCGTGCTACGGGCAACTATGCTTATGCACGCGTCGTGGAGGAGGTGAGATGAGGGGAGTGTGCGGTGGGGTGGTGTGGGGATATGGGTGGTGGGATGAGTGGGATGAGTGGGATGAGTGGGTGGGTGGTGGAACCGTTGAGCATCCTTCTCATCATGCGCATCGTGCAATCAGGCTCCCTTCAGCTCCTCTCGTTTCATCAGCGCATCCTTTTCTCTTGTGCATCTCTCTCATCTCATTCCCATTCCATCGTTGTGCCTCAGCCTCCTCTTCTTTTCACCTCTCTTTTTGCCGGTCTTGTTCCCCCCCTTGCTCCACCGCTCCCTGCCCCTGCTTCTCCTGCTGCCGCTCTCCCTCATGGCAGCTCCACAAAGCTGGTGTTGCGTTTCGAGTCCTTGCGTTGACTGCCACTCCTGGATGTACGTTCCCCATGCATGCTCTCCTCGTTTCATCTCCTTGCCTACTTTTGAGACCTCTCAAAAGTCGTGAAGAGTCCTTGCGTTGACCGCCACTCCTGGATGTACGTTCCCCATGCACACTCTCCTCGTTTTATCTCCTTGCCTGGAATCTTTTCTCTCATCCACGTTCTCATGAATGACCAGGGCGTTTCCTTAATAACCCCACTACACCTCGTCCTGGGTCTCGCACTATCTGTCCACAGCACTAGAAACTCACTGGAATTGCCTCCACCACTGCTACTTTGTTCTGCTGCTTTCCACACCACCAGCCCAGCTGCCCAGGAGCAAGCTGGGCAAGCTGGGAAATCAGTCATGCAGCATGCTCCATCGTGCTCCACTCTTCCTGCCGTTCCCTCTCCCTCCTGCGTGTCTCCAGCCCAGCTGCCCAAGGTACAGGAGGTGGGGAACAAGCTGGGCATATCAGTCATGCAGCACAGCTCCACTGTGCCCCGCTCCTCCCCTCTTCCCTTTCCTCTCTCCCCTCCCCCTTCTCCGTGCCACCAGCCCAGCTGCCCAAGGTGCAAGAGGTGGTGGAAAAGCTGGGCATATCACTCATGGACCGCTGCCCTGCTATGCTGTGCCGTCAACTCTACCAATTTCCCCTTGCTCTCCCCTCTACCCCCTCAATGCCACCAGCCCAGCTGCCCAAGGTGCAAGAGGTGGTGGAAAAGCTGGGCATATCACTCATGGACCGCTGCCCTGCTATGCTGTGCCGTCAACTCTACCAATTTCCCCTTGCTCTCCCCTCTACCTCCTCAATGCCACCAGCCCAGCTGCCCAAGGTGCAAGAGGTGGTGGACAAGCTGGGCTTGTCACCCATTGGTGCCTATAGGCATGCTGCAAACGAGAACGATTCCCCTCAATAACTTAGAAGTTAGCTCTTCTTTCTTCTCCATATCGCCAGCCCAGCTGCCCAAGGTACAGGTGGTTGGTGGACAAGCTGGGTATATTGCTCATAGAGTACCGCACTGTTTTGCATTTGACACTACCACTTTCCCCTTGCTCTCCCCTCTACCTCCTCAATACCACCAGCCCAGCTGCCCAAGGTACAGGAGGTGGTGGACAAGCTGGGCATATCGCTCATAGAGTACCGGGGAGATGACGACCCGCAAGTCGCCCAGTACATGCACAAGCGCACCGAGCAAGTGGTCAAGGTACGCTGTGCATGTACGCTTGGTATGCTGTGTGTTTGTGGTGCTGTGTGTGTGCTGTTGGTATGGATTGCCATGTACATGCTGCTGTGTGCTATACTGCGTTGCGCTGTGCTACACCACGCTGTACCTGTCTAGCGTACATCTGTACTCCTCCTGTTCATGCTGTTCAAATCGCCTCCCTTCAGGTGCGCATGCACACAGCAGTGGCAGAGGTGGAGAAGCTGCTGCTAGCGGAGCAGAGGAGGTGCCTGGAAGCCCTCAATCGCCTGGGCCTTGTGTCCTCAGCTCTCGTGTCTTCCAGCAAGGTCAGCTCAGTGTGTAATCGCATATGAGGGTGTAGGTGCACTTGGGTTGAATCAATCTTAGGGCGGTCATGCATGCACATGTGTATCTCAACATGGCCTTCCCCTGCGGCCGCTCTCCCTGTCGTTTTTCTCTCCCAGTCCCTGGGGTGTCAGCTTGTGTCATCCCACCACCGGTGGTTGGCTCAGCAGAAGCATGAAAGCAGTCGTATAGCGCCCCCCATCGCCGCCCCTCTTCCCTGCCATGTCACCAGGCCCTTCCCTCCCAGATGGTGTCCTCCCACCAGCCGCGCATGATCCAGGAGCAGCTCAAAGCCTTTCCGTTTGGCCCCTCTCCCCTGCCACCACGTCCTCCCCCCCAGATGGTGTCGTCCCACCAGCTGCGCATGATCCAGGAGCAGCGTGAAAGGAGTTGTCTCAGTCATCTCAAATCCTGCTTCTTTCCCCTGACACTATTTCTGTCCCCTGCCGTTACATCCCCCCGCAGATGGTGTCGTCCCACCAGCTGCGCATTATCCAGGAGCAGCAGGAGATCAGCCGTTCTCATCTCACCCACTCCCACTCGCCCTCCCTCTCCCCTGCCACCATGGCCCCCCCAGATGGTATCATCTCACCAGCTGCGCATGATCCAGGAGCAGCGGGAGATCAGCCGTCTGACTCTCCTACTCGTTACTCGTTCCCTCACTGCCCCTCTCCCTTCCTTCCAACTGCCCCTCTCAGATGGTATCATCTCACCAGCTGCGCATGATTCAGGAGCAGCGGGAGATCAGCCGGCAGCAGGAGGCAGCAGCGCGGGGCTTTGGGGCGGCGCCGATGGGTGGCAGGGAGGCGGCGGGGCAGATGTGGTGGTCACGGGCAGAGGCCGTGGGGGCTGCGTTAGAGAGGCTCATGTCGCATGGCATGCGCTCAGCACTGCACGTGATTGAGAGGAGCAGGTGAGTGATTGTGAGAACAAGCAGAAGGCATTGACCATCATGCCACGTCCCTTCAGACCCGCCTCTCATTACTTTCCACTCTACACCTTCCGTGTGTGATGAGTCGATTTTTTAGTCGACTCAAAGTTCGACCCATCATGCCACGTCCCTTCAGACCCGCCTCTCATTACTTTCCATTCTACTCCTTCCGCACCCCGCACAGCACTCGTGTCCTCTCTTGCCCTTCCCCTCTCCTCCCCCGCAGGCCCCTGGCAGCAGTGGTGAGGGAACAGAACATGCACAAGGCGTTGACGATCATGCGTCGCACTGTGGGAGGGGGCGAGGAGGGAAAGGTCAGCAAGGGAAGGCAGGGCGGTGCCATGTCATCAGCTTCCACGTCAGCTGCCAGGGTTGGGCCCTCGTCCGCTGCAGCGGCTGCCATCTCCCCGAAGCTGGTGGAGTTGGAGAAGCTGCTGCTGCTGCACTTCAGGGAGGGTGGGTGATGGTGGGTGTCGGTGGGTGATGGTGGGTGTTGGTGGGTGTTGGTGGGTGTTGGTGGGAGTTGGTGGGTAAGGTTCTTGCGTCTCGAAATGTTGATTCGTGAGACGCTTCAATTCAAAGCATTGATCTTTGAGATGAATCGAAGCTGGTGGAGTTGGAGAAGCTGCTGCTGCTGCACTTCAGGGATGGTGGGTGTGTGTGGATGCGCGTGTGCGCTTGCCACGCTGCTGCACTTGAGTGAGGGTGGGTGAGCTTGGTGAGTGCTGCTGCTGTTTGTCCCTTCGTTGTTTGATGCTTCCGCAGCACTTGAATGCTTAGCACTGAGCAGCAGGGGGCTGCTGTTGCATACTCACCTGGGCATCTGCTCATCTGGGCTGCCGCTGCATACTCACCTGGGCATCTGCTCATCTGGGCTGCCGCTGCATACTCACCTGGGCATCTGCTCATCTGGGCTGCCGCTGCATACTCACCTGGGCATCTGCTCATCTGGGCTGCCGCTGCATACTCACCTGGGCATCTGCTCATCTGGGCTGCCGCTGCATACTCACCTGGGCATCTGCTCATCTGGGCTGCCGCTGCATACTCACCTGGGCATCTGCTCATCTGGGCTGCCGCTGCATACTCACCTGCAGCTCAGGGCAGATGCCACCACACCACCAGGCCAATTATCCCTTTCTCCCCCCCCCTCGCTTCTTTTCCTCTCTCCCGTTCGTCCCTCCACCCAACACCCCCAGCCCAGCTGCGCAGCACAGGTGGCACGAGGGCCATCATCTTGTCCACCTTACGAGACAGTGTGCTGCCTCCTCAGTGATCCCCTCCTGGCCCCTGCTTCGTCTCGCCCATCTCATCCCCATTTCTCGCCCGTCTCATCCCCCTCCACCCATGGAGCCCAGCAGCGCAGCACAGGTGACACGAGGGCCATCATCTTTTCCACCTTTTTAAGATAGTGCCATATTACCTCAGGACACGAAGAGCAGTGAGTGAGTGATTGTATAAGGGGCCTCCTCAGTCATCCCCTCCTGCCCTCCCGTGACTTCTCCCCTTTCTTTTTTCTCTCCATCCACCCATGCAGCCCAGCAGCGTGGTACAGGTGACACGAGGGCCATCATCTTCTCCACCTTTCGGGACAGTGTGCAGTGAGTGTGACTGTAGCAGGTGTGGCTTTAGTGGATGACCAGAGCAGTGGATTAGTGTAGTGTGTGCATGTGTGTGTGTGTGTGCATGTGTGTGTGTGTGTGTGTGTGTGTGTGTGTGTGTGTGTGTGTGTGTGTGTGTGTGTGTTTGTAGTGCGTGTTTGTGTCTGTGAGCTGTGAGCAGCATTTGGTTTCTGTGGGTTGAAATGGCTACAGGATAGACAGTGTATGCAAGCAAGTGGTTGACTGTAGTTGGCAGTGAGTGAATGAGGCGATGCTATAGCGAGGACACTGTGACTGAGCATCTATTTTTGGCATGATAGTTACGCATGAAGATGAAATTCGTTGATGTACTTTCGCAAGGTCGCTACTCAGCTTTGTCTATCGAGCCCTGCTTCTATGATGTGCGTTCGAGACATGCCATGTTTTTAGGCGCCTCAAAAGTCATCTTTTGAGGCGCCTCAAAGGTCGCTACTCACCTTTGTCTATCGAACCCTGTTTCCGTGATGTGCGCTCAAGAAATGCCATTCTGCGTGTCTGTAATCATTTGTCATGTGTGCCTCGTTTTGATTGTCCATGGATGCAGGGAGATTGTGGAGTGCCTATCACAGCACGAGCCGCTGCTGCGAGTGAAGCAGTTCATCGGGCAGAGCCCAGGTATGGCAGGCAGGGCCCAGGTATGGCAGGCAGGGCCCGGGTATGGCAGGCAGAGCCCAGGTACGGAGTGCAGGTACGGCGGGCAGTGCCAGGTACGGACGGCCCACTCTGGACTCATTCGCTTTTATCAACTACCTATGGTGTTCATTCATCTCTCGCTTGCAGCTGTTCGCTTACTCCGTCTTGCAAATGTCAAGTTCCCCGTCTCTCTCTCAGCAGCTGGCAAGTTGACTATCTCTCAGCAGCCAACAAGGTAACGGGGTAACCCTCTCCCTGCTGCACTGCAGGAGCAGACTTGCCTCAGAACCGGGCCAAGGGGTCTGCGCGCGCCAAGGGACTTCCACGGATAGGAGCAAGGGGAGGGGGAAGGGGAGGGCGTGGGGGAGGGCGCGGGGAAAGGGGAGAGGGAGGGCGAGAGGGAGGGAGGATGGGAGGAAAGGGGAGTGAGCGAGGGACTGGAGGAGGAGCAGCTTTGGATGGTTCGAACGGAAGTCTGGGGAAAATGAGGGGAGGGAGAGGCAATGCTGATGGTTGTGTGGTGAAGGGCGTGTGCGGGGAGGAGGATGGGGAGGAGGGATGGGACGCTGAGGGAGAGGTTTTAGGAGAGGGGAGTGGGCAAGAGGAACAAGAGAGGGCGGAAGTGGAAGGGGACGAGGGGGAGGAAGAAGCAGGGGAGGAGGAGGAAGGGGGTGATATGGAAGTGAGGAAGCGGCTGATGGGTCAGTCACAGAAGCAGCAGCAGGCGGTGCTGGATGTGAGTGTCTAAGCCTACAGCTTTACTTGAATTATTGTTGAGAAATTTCAAAAGTGATACAAGCAGCAGCAGGCGGTGCTGGATGTGAGTGTCTAAGCCTACAGCTTCACTTGAATTATTGTTGAGAAATTTCAAAAGTGATACAAGCAGCAGCAGGCGGTGCTGGATGTGAGTGTCTCAGCCTACAGCTTTACTTGAATTATTGTTGAGAAATTTCAAAAGTGATACAAGCAGCAGCAGGCGGTGCTGGATGTGTGTGTTTAAGCCTACAGCTTCACTTGAATTATTGTTGAGACATTTCAAAAGTGATACAAGCAGCAGCAGGCGGTGCTGGATGTGAGTGTCTAAGCCTACAGCTTTACTTGAATTATTGTTGAGAAATTTCAAAAGTGATACAAGCAGCAGCAGGCGGTGCTGGATGTGAGTGTCTCAAGACCACAGCTTTACTTGTGTCACTTGTGGAAATTCTCAATTTTTGATACAAGCAGCTGGTTGGTGACGTGCAGCGAGGTTGTTTTTGAGACGTCTCAAAAGCAGGCGGTGCTGGATGTGAGTGTCTCAAGCCCACAGCTTTACTTGTGTCACTTGTGGAAATTCTCAAATTTGATACAAGCAGCTGGTTGGTGGTGTTGGATGTGATGTGAGTGTCTCAAAGCCATGGCTTCTTCTTGTTCCTCCCATAACCACCCTCTTTATCGTTCCTCTGCTGTCTCTTGTTCCCCCTCGTCCCACTCGTGTCGCTCATCCCACTCACTTCTCTCGTCCCACTCGTTTCTCCCCCACCAGGGCTTCAAAGCAGGAACGTACAATGTGCTTGTCTCCACAACCATTGGAGAGGAGGGGCTGGATATATCCCAGGTGGGTGGGTGTGGGTTGTGCATTGCGGATGCAATGCCACTTCTTATCGCTCCTACCACACTATTGGTGGCTGAAAGATTTGGTGGAATCTTCGCTGTTGGTTTGGCATATCCCTGGTGGGTTGGGCACATCCCAGGTGGGTTGAAACTAAAGGTGATCTGTGCGGCGTTGTATTCTCACTTCACTTCGTCTCCTGAACATCTCGACCCCGCCCCACTGATCCCTTTTCCCTTGCCATCTCCCCTATCTCTTGGTTCCCTGCCATCCCACTAACACCAGGTGGATCTGGTGGTCTGCTTCGATGCAGTCTCTGTGTTGCGCATGACTCAGCGCATGGGGCGCACTGGTCGCAGCAGGGACGGCAAAGTGGATATCCTCCTCACCACCACTCCTCACTGCTCCCCACCACTCCTCGCATTTCCTTCGCATTTCCCTCCGTTTCTTGCACTGCACCCCTTGCCGCAAGCACATGCCTGGTTTACTTAACTTTCCACCTCCCTTCCCTGCGCATTCCTCCTACTCTTTCTTTCGTCTCCTCTCCTTCTCTCCCTTCCCACCGCCCCGTTCCCCTCTCCCGCCTTCGGGCCCCCACTCTTTCATCATTGCTGTATGCTACATTACCTTGCCTGTTTTGTTGCATCCTTCCACCGACCACTGGTCCTAGCCACGGAGGGGTGGGAGATTGAGCGGTTCAACGCCAAGCGCAAGGCCAATCGAGCTCTTTCCAGGAACCTTCGCACCGCGCATACGTCAGGGGTGCTTCGCTTTCACGACAGCTTGCGAATGGTGTGTACCGTGTGCCATGTGCCGTGTGCCGTGTGCCATGTGCCGTGTGCCGTGTGCCATGTGCCGTGTGCCATGTGCCGTGTGCCATGTGTTATTCGCTGTATTGTACGTGCCATGTGCTGCGTGCTTCGCTTTCATGACACCCTGCGAATGGTGCGTGCCGTGGTCCATGTGCCGTGCGTTAATCTTGATGTGCTATGTGCCATGTGCCATGTGCAGCAGTTCTGTGCGCTGTGTGTTAGGTGCTTGTGCCATGTGCCATGTGCCATGTGCCATGTGCTGTGTATTGTGTAGCCTCCTCATCCCCATCCGTTGCTACTTTACCTGTTCCGTTCCCCACTCTCCCATGCCTACACCAGCTGCCTCATCGCCTGCCAAAGCCCACCGTTGCCATCGTCAACATCCAGCTGTGATCTGAGTCGACTCGACGATTTAATCCTGTACCCACTTCATCCCTTACAGTTGCTTCTTCAACCTGTCCCCCCTTTCTCCCAACCCCACCAGCTGCCTCATCGCCTGCCAAAGCCCACCGTTGCCATCGTCAACATCCAGCCGCCCGCCTTCAGCCCGCCTCGCTCCAAGCGACGCCGCCCCTCGTCGTCCCCAGCCTCGCTCGATCCCTCCACCAAGAAAGCCCGGGGGAAGAGAATGAGTGGAGTAAGATCAGCATCAGCATCAGCTTGCCCCATTCCAGTGACCCAGCTTCTGCAGGCTGAATCAGATGCTCTTTCCCGGTATCCCTCCCTGCTGAAGCTTATCCAGCCTGCTGCTAACCGGCTAGCTGGCAGTTCTGGTGGCGGGGAGGGGATGAGGTGGAAGCCTTTTGGGACGTCTCAACAGCAGGCTGCTAACCGGCTTGGTGGCGGTTCTGGTGGCGGGGAGGAGGCGAGATGGAAGCCTAGCCTTACGGGGTTCTTGTCGGCGCAGACGCAGCGAATGAGGACGTGCCAGGTGGCGCATTCCGATAGGTCGGAGCGGATGTTGGTGGGGGCACTGAGGATACTGCAGGGGATGGGAAACGATGTGGGTTTGGGAAGGGATGGGGGGGCGGGAGGGGACGAGGGAACAGGAGCGGGAATGGGTGCAGGGATGGGAGGTAGCCTGGGGACAGGAGTGCAGGTGGGGGATGATGGTTGGAATTCGTTGAAAGGAGTGAATGTGGGAGCAAGGGGATTTCAGGTGAGGGCAGACTGCAAATTGGGTGGAGCACCGTCGTTGCCCATGAGAGGAGGGCTTGAGTTGAAGCAGCAGGGCAGCGGAAGGAGGGGTGGTGTTGGAGCGAGCGTTGGAGAGGGTAGAGGCAGTGAGAAAGAGACGAGGGAGCACAAGGGAGGAGGGCAGGAGGGTGGTGAGCAGGAGAATAGTGCTGGGGAGAGTTGTGCGTTGGACCGGGACAGTGGGGATGGTGGGGATGGTGGGCATTGTGTGGTTGGTAGGGGTGGTGGGCATTGTGATGAGGTGGAGGGTGGTGAGAGGGAGGAGGATGGGTACGTGGGGTTGGAGGAGTATGAAGAGCCAACGATCTGGAGGTACGTTGAGGGGGAGGAGGAGGGTGGTGAAGGCTTGGAACTCCAGGATCGGGCGGGGCGAGTGGATGGGAGGGCCGGGAATGCCCATGTTATGGGTATGTGGAGGGATAGCAATGCACGGATGGTTTTTAAGGCGCCTCAAAAAATGAATGGGAGGGCCGGGAATGCCCATGTTATGGGTATGAGGAGGGAAAACGATGCACGGATGGATACGGTTGTGCAGAAGGATAGGTGCAGGGGGTTTGATGTGGGCAGTGGCATGGAATGCTTGAGAGGAATGGGAGTGGAGGGAGGTGTGAGGGGGGCTGAATCCGGACCGTTGGGGCAAAAGGGTGTGTCTGCAGGTGGTGGTGCGGTTGGTTTGGAGGCAACTTGGAGACGAATGGGAGTGGAGGGAGGTGTTGGGGCGGCTGAATCTGGACCGTTCAAGGAGAAGGGTTTGCACGCAGCGGGTGGTGATGGTGGCGGTGGTGGCGGCGGGGGTGGTGGTGCTGATGCTGGTGCTGGTGGTTGTGGCGGTGCTGCTGGTGCTGCTGGTGGTGCTGCTGGTGGTGCTGCTGGTGGTGCTGCTGCTGGTGGTGCTGCTGGTGGTGCTGCTGCTGGTGGTGCTGCCGGTGGTGGTGCTGCCGGTGGTGCTGCTTGCGGTGGTGGGGATGCATTCGATCCCATTCTTCTGTCGGACGAGGTGAGTGATGGCGCTGCAAGCCGGACGAGTGGCAGCGTGAGAGGAGCTTCCACAACAACAGAAGCCGCAGCGGCAGAAGCAGCAGCAGCAGCAGAAGTATCAGTATCATCAGCAGCAGCAGCAGCAGCAGCAGCAGCAGCAGCAGCAGCAGCAGCAGCAGCAGCAGCAGCAGCAGCAGCAGCAGCAGCAGCAGCAGCAGCAGCAGCAGCAGCAGCAGCAGCAGGAGCTGAAGCAGCTGATTTGTGCATTGCAGAACAAGGCAGAGCACATGGTTCAGGGGTGAAGAGGAGGGGGAATGCGGTTCACGAGCCTTATGGTGAGGTGCGGGGGCCAGGCTCAAAGAGCGGGGAGGAGGGCGTGTGTGCAGCAGAGCAGAATGACACGAAAGCAGCTGGAGGAAGGAAGCCCTGCGATTTTAGCTGGGACTGGCAGGGGGGCAGTGCAGTGGGGAGAGCAGAGAGCAGCAGCAGGCTTGCGTGGGCTGTTAGGCCCTGCCGTCAGCAGCACCAGCAGCAGCAGCAGCAGCAGCAGAGATCTGATGTGAATGCTTCTGGTGGGAGTATGAAGGGCAGCGTAGGTGGTGTAGTTGCGGTTGGGGGTAGATGGGCTGATGGGGACAGGCAACTGCCGTGGTCTTCACGACCAGCACCATCAGTACCAGCATCACCATCAGCAGAACCATCATCACCACTAGCACCATTGCCAACACCACCAGCACCAACAGCACCAGCAGCACTGCCACCAGCACCTCCATCCCGACACTCGCCAGTAGTAGTGGCAGCAGCAGCAATGCCATCCCTACCACAGGCATCAGCACAGCTACGACAGCCACTACCACAGATGCGATCAGAAGTTGATAAAGATGGCGATGGTGAGGGAGAGGGAGAGCAGGGGGGAGAAGGGAGAAACGATCAGCCACAGCCACAGAAGCAATCGGCGGCTAACGAGAGCGATTGTGATGGCAATGGTGACAGTGAGGGAGATGGAGAGGGAGAGGGAGAGCAGGGGAGAAGCGGGAATGTGGGAGGTGGAAGGAGGAGGCAGAGGAGAAGGCAGATGGTGGTGATGACACAGGAGGGTGAGGAGGATGAGGGAAGTGGCGCTGGTCGTGGTGGTGGTGATGGTGATGGTGGTGCTGGTGGTTGTGATGACTGGGATTCGCACAGAGAAAGCATGGCTGGGCCTGATCCATTGAGAGGAGAGAAAGGTGTGATGGAAACGAAGGGCGCACAAGAGGAGACGCTCAGCTCGCCTCAGCAGCGCTCAAGAACCCTCAAGAGGCTACGGAGAGGGCCGCAGGCAGGCGGCAGTGATGGCTGCACGGGAAGTGGAGGCGGCAGGGGTGGCGGCAACAGGGGCAGTGATGGTGGGGGTAGGGGCGGTAGCGAAGCAAGTGGCACGGAGAGGAGTGGCGGTGGTGGGGAGGACATCCGAGGGGCCAAGGGAGGAAGGCGCAGGAGTGCTGTGGGTGCGAGCAGCAGCAGTACTATTGGTGGAAGGGGCGGGAGAGGGAGAAGCAAGGCGATGGCTCGAAGGGTGCTGGACTTCATTGATGAAGAGGCTGAGTGAGTGCGGTGCTGTGTGGTTCTGTGCTGTGCTGTGCTGTGCTGTGCTGTGCTGTGCTGTGCTGTGCTGTGCTATGAGGTGCTGCGAGGTGCCATGAGGTGATGTGCTGCCCAGTGAAGCAGGCAACATTCTCTAGTGCAATCAACCAGTGACCTATTAACCCACTTCTTTGAACCTTGTCACACTCACTTTAGTTCGCTCTCCCCCCGTACTTTTATCATCCTTTATAGCACTCTGTAACTCTTTAAATTCCGGCAGTGTCTCTGTTCTTTTCTGTGGCAGGGAGTCGGACCGTGATGCCACACAGGAAGGCCAAGAGGATGCTGACGTGGCATGGGTGGATGATGACATGGCGGATTTCATCGTCAGCAGGGTGGAGGGAGAGGGGAGCGGGGATTTAGGAGAGGAAGAGGAGGAGGAGGAGGATGAGGGGGAGGAGGAGGGAGAGGAAGATGAGAGGGAAGAGAGTGGGGAGGAAGATGATGAAATCGAGGAAGTGGAGGATGACGACGAGGAGGAGAGAGAGGGAGAAGGGGAGGGCAGTGCGGGGAGGCGTGGAGGGCCTATGGTGACGGAGAGGAGCATGCAGCACATTTACCGGTGAGTTGGGGCCCTTAGCTTGGCGTGAAGTGGCTGATTGGTGCAGGGATGAAGTTGTTGCTTTTTTCGTCGCATCCTCTTACATTCGTTCGCTCTCTTTCATCTGAATCACTCACTTCTCCTCCTCATGCCCCTGCAACACTCGTTTCTCTCCAACCCCTCCCCATTTCTCCCCTCCCTCCCCAACACCCCCCCGCCCCACCTCCCTGCCCCTCATGCCTCTCCACCAGGGCGTCACTGCTGAGCCAGCTACCCATGGACCACTTCCCCCCACCACCACGACGCCGAAAGCACAAACAATCCAGAACGACCGACCACGTGCAGCCAGCAGAACATCTGAAGCCCACTGCACAGCCCAGCAGCAACAGAGGCACAGCCACACCCTTTGACTGCCATGCCCCAGCCTCAGCAGCCATCCCAGCCTCTTCTCCCCACTCCTCCAACACCTCTTCCCCGCACTCCCCCAGTGCCTCTCCCCACCCCACTCCCAGCCCTCCATCCCCCCGCCGCTCTCTCCTGCCGCAATTTGCCTCATCCCCTCTTGGACTTGCCGCCCGCAACGCCAATAAGATGCGAGTCCTGCCGCCCAGAAGAGGTTCTGTGCCGCCCAGCACACACTCGATGCCGCCCTGTGCGGATGGTTCTGTGGCCCGTAATAATTCACTGCCGCCCATTGCGCCGTCCAGTTCACACTCTATGCAGCCCGGGTGGCATGAAGCGGATGCGAAGGAGGGAATGGTGGGCGGCAGGGAGCTGGCAGAAGAGTGGAGCAGCCATGGTATGCAGCATACCAATTCCCATGCACGTGACAATAGTAAGGGTGAATGCGAAGGTGACAATGATGAGGCTGTTCGTCGATGTGGCACTAACACGCGGGAGCTTGGATGTGATAGTAACGAGGGTGAGCGCGCATGTGAGGGTGACGAGGAGGATATATTCGAGGGGATCGATCTGGACGCTCTGGAGGCAGAGGCATGGGCGAGCAGAAGCAGAGCTGGAGGGGGAGGAGGCGTGAGTGGGGTAGGAGGAGGAGGAGGAAGAGATGGACGGATGAGTGAGTGTGCAGCAACTTCTTCTTCAGCAGCAGGGCCTTCCTCCCAACACTCGCCACTAGCAGCAGCAGCAGCAGCAGCAGCAGCTGGTGCCGGTGCTTGTGCTTCCCCAGCATTCCCAGCCAACCCTGGACATGCTCCTGCCTCTCTTCCAACACCAACACCCGCCGCCTCCTCCGCACAACCCCACGCAGCGCTCCCTGGTGCATCACACACACCTACCCCTGGAATAACTCCCTCCCATCCAGTTGCTACCTCGACAACACAAGGAGCTCAGGCCAAGGACGGCTGGCCTAAGGCGGGTTTTTGCAATGATTGTATTGAAACTGTTGATGATTTCCAGTGCTTCGGTGTGGATGAGGTGTTTGGGGGCATTGATCTTGATGCTTTGGAGGCGGAAGCGTTGCAGAAGAGCCAGCAGAAGAAACAGCGGGCTTCAGCTTGTGAGGAGCCTGACAATGAGGTGTTTGGGGGCATTGATCTTGATGTGTTGGAGGAGGAAGCGTTGCAGCAGAGCCAGCGCAAGAAGCAGTGGGTGGCGGCGAGTGAGGGGATGGTGAAGGGGAGGGAAGTGGTGGTGGAAGGGGGTGGTGGGGCTGGAGTGGAAGGCAAATCGCCGTTGTCCCCGCAGTGGTGTGCTTGGTGATTGTTTCGCAGTTACATTCTTGGTGTACATTCTTTTATTTCATTGTTAACTGATCTGCAAACTCGTGTCGTTATTGCAGTGGTCTTATGTGAATATTCGCATGTCGAGCATGATTATCATCCCGTGCAACATATGGTACAGTTCGTCTTAGGGCGTGGAAAGCTGTAGCAGAAGGCTTTGTTGTCCATTGCTGAATTAGGGAGGGTATATTGGTGAGACGAGAAGACAACTAGATTTTGCACATAAACTTCTACGATATCGGACTTTCTAAACATTGTTTTCTGTGGGCCGCAATGCGGAACTCATTGCCGCGAATGAACCATGAGGCTTTTGGAAGTGCGTTGACGGGCGATGTTCGGCAGCGACATGGGGGAATGGGATGGTAGCATCCCTGAGAATCTGTTTTCCCTAGGCAGCATCATCGTCAAGCACAACGAAATCAACACGACTTGTGTGATTGGTCGAAGTAATAGATTGCCTGGTTTGGCTTTTAGGCCCGTTCGGCGTTTCCTGTCCCGACCCGACCGAGAAGGCCTCCTACAATTGATGCCTGTTTGAGCCCCTCCCGGTTGCCTTGTGAAGGGGGCATATAAGCTCTAACGAGAATTTCGCATAAGTTTCGTCAATTCGCAGCTAGCTAAAAAGGATTCGCAGGGGCTTATAAACAAGATCTGTTACCTTATTTGACTTCAGTCTCTTCTGCTTGACCTCGGTCTGTTCGTTACTATTGGTTGATAACCACGCGACGCGCTTATAACGTGGGAGCAACAGGCTGGGGAAACAACCTCGGGTGCAGCGTTTCCATCTGGCGCAAGGCAAATCCGCTTGCACTGGTTGGGCATCAATTGTACTTTCTCCGATCGCTGTTTCGCTCTTACGACCACATTAACAGTGCCAGGCGGTTGCTGCAGCTCTCTTGGTCGTACACGTGGCACGCAGATCGCGAATGGCGGCATCGCCTGGACCGAACGACGATGAAGCTTCAGGGGGTTGTAACCGCGGAGAGGAGGCGGAAACGAATCCTGAGACGCCACAAAACGCGTCAGGCGTTGATAGTATTGGGGGAGAAGAAGCGGTAACGAGGTTTGCAAAAAAACAAAATGCACCAGGTGGCAGAGGGGGAGAGGAGGCGGAAACGAGGTCTACGACAGGGGGAAATGCGGCGCCAGGGGGAAATGGGGAAGAGGAGGTGGGACAATGGAAGGAGAAAACTCTTAGTCTTGAAAAGACGGTAGCAGTGCTGCAAGCTAGGGTACAGGAGTTGGAGAGAGCAGTGGAGAAGGAGCGGAAGGAGCGCGCGGCGGAGCGGACAGGGCGGATCCGCGCGGAGCAGCAGCTGCGCAGCCGCCTCCTCGTCCCAGCCGCCGCTGAGCCCGAGTCGCCTGTGCGCGCGCACGGCGCGCTCGCTGCCGAATTGCCTGAGGAAGGCGGCGCGCACGGCGATGCACGCGACGGCGGGCATAGCGATGGGCATGGCGACGGCAATAGCGTTTCAGAGAGTGACGCTAGAGACCAGTCAGAGGGCTGTGACGTGGCAGTGACTCAGCATGGGCGTCAGTCTACAGGGGAACAGCACGGGCAGGAAGAGCACGGGCACGGGAGTGTTGGGCTCACCACGTATCCTATGACTCCCATTGGCGTTATCCGCTCCTGCTTCTCTGCCAGGTGGGTGGATTGAATTGAAACTCACATGCTGCTCTAGGCTACTTCACATGGCCGGTGAATTTTCTCTTCTCCTCCTCCTCCTCCCCTCTCACCCTCTCCCATGCGTCTCCTGTTGGCGTTATCTGCTCCTGCTCCTCCCACCCTCCTCCACCGCTCTGCACCGCATGCAGGAACGGCACGCCACGTCAGCCGCTGCTCGTGCCAGCAGCGCGGGCCTATCTGGAGCTGCCACGTGGAGGGGTGGCGCCGGCAGCACTGCAGGGATTGGAGGGGTACTCGCACTGCTGGCTGCTCTACGTCTTCCACGCCAACACGGACATTCAGCGTCTCTGGTCCGACCCCCACTACCGCAAGTTCCGTGCCAAGGTGAGGATATAGGGTTTCAGGCCTGCTGGTCTGATCCGCACCCTTCGGGTGTAGGGTGAGATGGTGTCTGGATGGGGCGATTGGATTGGAGGGGTACTCGCACTGCTGGCTGCTCTACGTGTTCCTTTGTTTCCATTTCAACGCCATCACCTGCCGAATGCTCATACTTGCCACCACCCATCCAGGTTCGAGTGCCGAGGCTGCAGGGGGGTAAGCTGGGAGCGCTGGCGACGCGCACACCGCACCGCCCAGTGCCCATCGGGCTGAGCATCGCCAAGGTGGAGCGTGTGGAGGGGCGGCGGGTGTTTCTGTCAGGTGCTGACTTGGTCGATGGCACGGTGAGTGGTAATGTGAAAATCTGGTTCTGTAGAGCTATCAAACACCGCCATTCTGGTTGCACCGGCCGGTGCCCATCGGGCTGAGCATCGCCAGGGTGGAGCGCGTGGAGGGGCGACGGGTGTTGCTGTCGGGTGCTGACATTGTTGATGGCACAGTGAGTGGCTGTACGAATTTGCAGTTGGTTGTACTTATGAGTTATCAAACACCAGCATACTGATACTGGTCGCATCGGCCGGTGCCCACTGACCGGCCGGCCGGCCGGCCGGGCTGGGCATTGCCAGGGTGGAGAGTGTGGAGGGGCGGCGGTTACTGCTATCCGGAGCTGACTGAATTGATGGCACGGTGAGTGGCTGTACTGAGTCGAAAAGAATGTGATTTCTCTTGTGTGGGTCCATGAAATGGCCTATGATTTCAGGCTGTTTCTGAGAAATTTTAAGAGCGTGCGTGCCTCACATGCGCAGGGATTCCCCCCCTCTTCTTCATTCCCCTTCCTGACCCCGCACCACAGCCCATGTTGGATATCAAGCCTTATCTGCCCTACTCGGACGCCTTGCCATCTGCCACGGTGCCACGTTGGGTGGAGGTGAGTCGGCATGGGTACACGTGATGCGAGTATCATGTGTCATCGGTGAGTGCATTGCATGCATGATTTTTGTCGTGTACCTGTATGCACTCGCACATAAAACCCATCCTACCCTTCCCCTCTTCCGTTCACGTTCCCCCTCGTTCTCCCCACCAGCCATCAGGAGAGGGCGATGGCATGCACATGGCATCTGTCACCTTCCATCCCGCCGTCTCCATCCACTTCCTTCTCCCCTTCCCAACCCCTCCCCCATCTCCCACCACTCCCCCCCATTCTCCCCACCAGCCATCAGGAGAGGGCGATGGCATGCACATGGCATCTGTCACCTTCCATTCCGCCGTCTCCACACAGCTTCAAGATGCGTGGTCGTCGCAGGTGCGCCTTGTTGTGCGGCTTTTTCTTCTGTCGCGTTTCTTCTCCTTCTCTTTCCCTTCTCCCCCTTCCCCCCTTCTCTCCCGCTCATTCTCTCCCCCTTCCCCCCTTCTCTCCCGCTCATTCTCTCCCCCTTCCCCCCTTCTCTCCCGCTCATTCTCTCCCCCTTTCCCACCTCTCCCGTTCCTAAACTCTGCCTTCCGTCCCCTCCCTCCAGAGCCACCGTTCGTTATACTCACACCCTGATGAGCTGCAGGAGCTGTGCCGGCAAGTGCTGACGCGAGACATTCGGTCTGCCTCCCATCAGAAGTCAAGAATGGATCCCTCGAGCACAGGAATGAGTTCACATTCTTCTGGGCATGGCATCACAAATCCTGAGCATGAAAGCACCCATTCTGAGTCCACTCAAAAGTCCAAACTCGAGCTACCTAGCATGCCAGCAGGGGCTGAGAGTGCAGCAGTTACTGTACCTTGTAACGCAGGATTTCACGACGTGGCACAAGTGGCGTCAGTTTCAAGCTACGACCCCTCGGAGGATCGAAATGGAGAAGCTAAACCTGTGGGGGGTGCTGATTCGGCAAGCCTAGTGTACCATGTGATTTTGGATGGAATAGATTTCAGTTATGTTGTTTTGGACGGCAACCATGTTGTGGTTGAGGGGGCAAGACCTTCTCCTTAAAATATGTATGTTGATCCTGTTGGGGTATCATGTGCAAGATTCGGGCCATCAACCTCTGTAAAAATGTGAGAGTGATGGTAAATCACGGGTCTAGTGATCCCAAAAGTTTAGGGTGTAGGAATCCCGATGTGATCCGCTCTGCATCCTGACCGTTTTTCTCGAGACTGCTTAAAACGCATACGTCGTTCCACAAGGTACGGTTCGGTGGTTGTTACATCAAATGCGTTTGAACGCGATGTGAATGGGGTTTGTGCAATCTGCAACCATACCCTCTGCGATCACCCCTGCTTATCATGCAGAGTGCTTCTGTCGCTTAGCGACGTCGACGACAGATACGAGCCAACCTATGGCCAGCACTTGGATTCGCGTCGCGAGAGTCGCCGCCGAAAAAGCCGAGGTCGTAGAAATCCATGTTCCCCCACGTCGTCCATGCATTATTGCCGTCGGATTAGGTCCTTTCGCATGTTTTCGTCATCTCGAACCAATCCAAGGGTTTGCCAGCACAAGGTGGTTACGCCAGCAACCCCCGATGAAATCCACAAACCCAATGGGAGGAGCGCAGCGCGGGAATTGAGGAGCAATTCCCAATAACATTTTCGAATCATCCTTCAAGAAGCATGAGAAATATACCAACGCCAACTATTTTATCCATATTTCATCCGAATCCAGTAGTCGCCATCTGTGTCAGCTGCAACGAATTTATCCGAAGCCATGTCGATCAGCAACGCTGCAGCCGTCGCGGCTAGTACTACCTACTCCGAGGGTGCCGCAAGATTTGCTCTCTCGAGTCGGAAACTTAGACCCGCATTGATTGGATGGCCCACCAAGAGCGCGATTCGGACAGGTAATAGATAATGTTCTCAGTCAACGATTCCCATTCACCTTCCAGTGCACAACAAAAAATATGTAATACCCTCGAATCTGCACAGTCGGATTCTCCTGTATTGATTCATGTTTTTTGTTTCTCCCTCTGATCCTTCCTACATTCTCGGCTCAGGTAGACATGGCGTATCACCTGCTGTACCGGTGTGCTGCTCCGCGAACCCGCACACCGGCCCGTCCACGTCAGCACCTACCACGTCGGCATCAACCATGACATCTGACGGCGGAGAAGCGGCTGCGTTCCGGCAGATGAGTCCAGAGGAGCATTGGTGGTGGGGCACCCCTGAATACCTCATGGGTAACTGGCACGGCCAATGGCGATCTTGGAAGCCGATGCAATCAACGGACGAGATCAGATCCATGAAGTCTGTGCGGAAATTGTGGGCCACGTCACCAGACCTCACCAGCTTCGCCCACATGGTGAGTTTTGAAATCTCTCATTGGTCGGTTTTGAGCCCACACGGTGGGTTTTGAGAATTCTTGAGACCGCCGACCTCCAAAATATACGGGCCACGCCCTCATAATGATTTTTGAGTCGACTCAAAAGTCAGCTCGGAATTCTCAATATCGGTGACTAACAAAACATATGGGCCACGCCCTCATGATGATTCAGAGAGTTTCCCCCTCCCTCTTCCCTTTCCCCCCACTACCCCCCTCGGACAATCCGCACTCTCGCCAATCCCTCCCAGCGTTTCGCCTCCCAGCGCCTCGCCTCCTCCCCCTTCTCTGCTCTGCCCTTGTTCTCTCCTTGTTTCCCGCCTCTCTCCCGCCTCTCTGCCGCCACTCCTGCGCGGCACCACTACCGTCCCCACCCCACTCATGTCAAATCACTCCCCGCCCCTCGACCACCCTCCAACGACTGCAATGACCACCATGGCCATTGGCCAAGTTCCAAGCAGCCCTCCCAAGGCGCGCGTGCAGTGGGACTCGTGTCCCTTAAATTTTGCCGTTTGAGTCAACTCATCTTATACTCTCACCCCCACCACCCCTTCCCCTCCCCTCCTCTCCCCTCCTCTCCCCTTCCCTCCCCTCCCCTCCTCTCCCCCCCCCCCTCCCATCCCGGCTCCTCCCCTCCTATCTCCGCCCCTACCCTCCCGTCCCTGCCCCTCCCCTCCCATCCCCGCCCCTCCCCTCCCATCCCCACCCCTCCCATCTCCGCCCCTCCCATCCCCTCCCCACACCTCCCATACCCACCCCTCCCATCTCCGCCCCTCCCATCCCCTCCCCTCACCTCCCATCCCCTCCCCTCCCATCTCGACGCTCCCTCAGAACGACTGGTACGACCGCCAGGGCGACGTTTCCCCGCAGGCCACCAACGTGGGCGTGCAATGGGACATGTCACTCGCGGAGCACAGCCTGCCAGACGGCTTCTGCCACGTGGCAGCCCGCAACTCGCGCCGCTTCACCGTCAGCAGGAAGGCGGACGGGATTTGGACGCCTCTGGAGGTGGCAGATGGGGCGGGCGGCATCAAGCTTCCGTTTTTGGTGGAATTCTTCTTCTCGCACTGTGAGCGCTCCTTGCTGCTGGTACAACCTCTCAAGTAGACACCTACCAGGCAGGTGCATCTAATCTGGAGGTGGGGGATGGGGCTGGCGGCATCAAGCTGCCTTTCCTGGAGGAGTTCTTCTTCTCCCACAGTGAGTGGTCCTTGCTGATGGTACAGCCTCCCAACTAGCCTCTTAGCAGGAAGGCGGACGGGATCTGGGGGCCTCTGGAAGTTTCAGATGGGGAAGGGGGCATCAAGCTGCCATTTTCTGGAGGAGTTCTTCTTCTCCCACAGTGCGTGCTCCTTGCTGCCAAACACCAACCAAATGAATCCCACAGAAGCTGAATCTCTACTCGTGTGCCTTTGGCCGACATCTGGCCGCCTCTGATGGGGCGGGGCGGGGAGCATCAAGCTGCCTTTCTTTCTTAGTCGAGTTCTTCTCGCAGTGACTCACTGTGGCGTTAGTGACTACTGTCCCTTCAGGGCGTATTCTTCCTTGGCCACAGTGAGTTCTTTTCTGGTTCTTTTTTAACAAGAACGCACACTGCTTTCTCACATTGTCCTGTCTTTTGTCACAGTGTTATCTATTGACCACAGTTGGTCTCGTTGGTTTGTCTTGTTGGTTGCCATTCCTGTGTGTTTCCCATTTTCTGGATTTGGTCGTTTCCCTGCTTTTTTCCTCTACCCTTTGTTTTACATATCAAATCGCAATTCGATGTACCTTCTTTCGGAGTTGACAACGACGGACCACGCTGCCGGAGAGTTCAATTCTGAACATGACTGACTAAATCGCAATTAAAAAAACAATCCGAGTTCTTACTCACATTAAAACATTTTGAGTGTTCATTCATTCTGATGGATATATTCTCCCCATTCACAGTCTCTTCTGCTTCCTTTTCCCATCCAGCCCCCACGTCTCGTCTCGGCACCATGGTTGGATTCGAGTCCGACGGAGCTTTCCGGGTATCAGTGGTGGTTGAGGAGTCGCTAGACACCAACGAACGCCGCCCCACGGACTGGGTCTGGCCCACGTGGGGCCCGGGCGGCGTCCCGTCCCATCTGCCCGACCACCTGCCGCCCCTTCCGGCACTAAATGACAAAACAGTGGTGGGAACTCGCACCACTCTGACTCGCAACCTGATGGTTCAGGAGCGGGAGAACGTGTCCTGGGCGGAAGAATGGAGCCCTAACAGCTCTGCCGCTTCTGCAGCCATTGCAACAGCAGCAGCAGCGGGAAATAATGGTGAAGCATCCTCAGCTGGAGGAGGTGCACCAGAAGCAACAACAGCAGCGGCAGCGGCTGGGTTCATGGGCCGAGTGCCACAAGGCGATGAGGAGCGGTATGCGGTGTTTGCTCTGCCCCACGGGGTGGTGGTGTGCGCCCCGCGCTCGCTACAGCTGGTGGCAGGGAGGCCGTTTGTGCTGTCGGTGTCGTGGTTGGTGGGAGAGGTGGGCGAGGGGGTTGCGGGTGCAGGGGAGGTGAAGCGGATCACTGCCTCTTGGGGGGCTGACGGGGGCTTTGAGCGGGTAGAGGGGGAGTGGTACAGGAGAGAGGCATGAAAGGGAGATGGTGCAAGGGAGATGCTTAACACGGAGTGGGGCAGGAGAAGATAGAGGCGAGGTGAAGGAGAGGAGAAGAGTATTTGAGGGTGGTTGGATTCAGGGCTACTTTTTGGTTTTTTGCCAACCCTTATGATCAGTGTTGCACATGTTCAAAATGTCAAATTATATGCATGCTATATATGTTTAGGCTGTAGTGGGGTAGCCAATATGGGGTACAGCCCCTCTTAGGGTTTCATACTTGTACCCAACACTTTCATACTGCATTCATCCTTGCTACTAGATTCTAACATGGTTTCAGAGCACTAGGTCCATAGGACCGTCCTTTTTTCCGGGCCCACCTACCGTTGCAGTTACCGCGCTGCCCCACATGTTGTCCTGCGCGTGCCTTCCCCTGCCTTGCCTTGTGACGTGCTGCGCTGCGCGCGCCGTCCTGCAGCCCTCGCGCTGCCTACTGTTGCCCTAGCTACGCACGACCCCGCGCTGCAGACCCGTAAGGCCAGCGCGCTGCCCCTGCAGGCCCGTAAGGCCAGCGCGTCGCCCCTGCAGGCCCGTAAGGCCCTTGCGCCGCCCCTGCAGGCCCATAAGGCCTGCGCGCCGCCCCTGCAGGCCCGTCAGGCCAGAGCGCCGCCCCGCCCTGCAGCCGACGCGGCCCCGCCAGGTCGCTCTCGCGGCCCCGCCCTGCCGCTGACGCGGCCTCGCCCTGCCGCCGATGTGGCCCCGCCCTGCCGCTGTCGCGGCCCCGCCCTGCCGCCGACGCGGCCCCGCTCTGCCGCCGACGCGGCCTCGCCCTGCCGCTGTCGCGGCCCCGCCCTGCCGCCGGCGCGGCCCCACCCTGCCACCGACGCGGCCCTGCCCTGCCACTGTCGCGGCCCCGCCCTGCCGCGAACGTGGCCCCGCCCTGCCGCCGACGCGGCCCTGCCCTGCCGCTGTCGCGGCCCCGCCCTGCCGCTGTCGCGACCCCGCCCTGCTGCCAACGCGGCCCCGCCGCTGCAGCTGCCGCGGCCCTGCCCTGCCGCTATCGCGGCCCCAACCCTGCAGCTGACGCGGCCCTACTTTGCAGCCGCTGTTGCGGCCCCGCCGTCGCTACTGTCGTGCGCCTACCCTGCCGCCGCCCGCCGAGCGCCGGCCCTGCTCGCCCGGCGAGCGCCTGCCCTTCCCGCCACTGGTGAGCATCTGCCCTACCCGCGCTTCCCGTGCGCCTGCCTTGTTAGTGCGCTGCCGCGCCAGCCTGCCTGCCTGCATGCGTGCCTATCTGCCTGCTTGCCTGCCTGCCTGCTTGCCGCGCCTGCCCTGCCCGCGCTGCTACTGCTGCTACTGCTGCTACTGGCGGTGGCCAGATGCAGCTCCAGTGACGTCCGCGCGAGTCTCTCACGCCCCAGCAGCTTCGTGAGTGGTACGCTAGTTGGGGTTGTGGCGGTAGCCGTCGTGGCTGTCGCCCTGGAGCTGGTCAGTCGGGAGCGTCTGGCAGTGGCCAACTGCAGCTGCAGCGGCGTCCGCACGAGACACTTACGCCCCAGCAGCTTTGTAACTGGTACGCTCAAAGTGGAGGGTCTCGGAGTACCGTTCGCTGCCCGTACATCATTCGCACAGGTGATCGGGCTGGTCAGGCTTGCGGGACGCTTGGTCACACACAGTTTGGCGACCGAGTTTGGCGACGGGGCTGAGCTCCCCACCTGGCTGGAGCTGCTTGGACAGAGGGTAGATATCTTTGCTCTTGACTATGATGCTATTCTCACTGCCATGTATGCATTGCCTACTAGTGCTGACCATGTCTGTTACCTGTGCGTACCGCCTGACCCAGGTATAGAGCCTGCTGCTCTAGATGTTGGTGAGGCTGCTGCACTAGGTGCTAGTGTGTCTCCTGCTCTAGGTGCTGGTGAGGCTGCTGCTCTAGGTGCTGGTGAGTCTGCTCTCTCTAGTACTGCACCTACTAAGGCCTTGTACACCTTCACACTTGACTCAAGTGCTTCCCGCTCCTTCTTTCGCGACAGCACCACCCTCACGCCGCTCAGTCGGCCAGTTGTAGTCTCCCGGGCAGACCCCTCTGGGGGTCCAGTCCTTGCCCACTCCTCCACGGTCCTGCCGTGTCCGGCGGTCCCGTCTGGCTCCCTGTCAGGTCTTCACCTCCCCTCGTTCTCTACGAACTTGGTGAGTGGTGCTGACCTCCAGGACCAGTGGGTTAACCAGTTCACTCCTGGAGGTCAGCGCGTAACCCACTGTACGTGCTCCCGGACGGGCCGGCACCTGGTCACGTTTACACTTGCGCCTGGCTCGAGTCTGTACACACTGACTACTGTGTCCCCTCAGGTCGCTGCGTCTGTGTCTGCCTCAGGTCAGCTAGCGGCCCCCTGCTCGTGTCGCGCTTTGTCGCACGAGACCCTCCTTTGGCACCACCGTCTTGGTCACCCCTCGGTGCAGCGCCTTCGTAGCATGCACCGCCGTGTCCTTGTCTCTGGTCTTCCCAAGGTTCTCCCTCCCCTCCCACCCTCGCCTGCTCCTCCCTGTCTTCCCTGTGTCGAGGGGCAGCAGCGCGCCGCTCCTCACTCCTCCTCGTTTCCCCCGACGACTGCTCCCCTGCAGACCCTGCACATGGACGTGTGGGGCCTAGCCCGCGTCAGTGGGCAGAAATGCGAGCGGTACTTCCTGTTGGTTGTTGACGACTACTCGCGTTGCACCACGGTCTTCCCCTTGCACACCAAGGGTGAGGTCCCTGATGTTTTGATCCCTTGGATCCGCGCTGCCCGTCTCCAACTCCGCGAGCAGTTCGAGACGGAGTTTCCCGTCCTACGTCTGCACTCTGACAGAGGTGGGGAGTTTTCCTCCGACCTTCTGCAGAGCTTTTGTCGTGGGGAGGGCATTCGCTAGACGTTCACGCTTCCGGCCTCTCCGCAGCAGAATGGGGTTGGTGAGCGTCGCATTGGCTTGGTCATGGAGGTCGCTCGTACCTCCATGGTCCATGCGGCTGCCCCCCATTTTTTGTGGCCGTTTGCGGTCCAGTACGACGCGCATCAGCTCAACCTCTGGCCCCGTGTCTCCTTGCCGGAGACCTCACCCACACTGCGGTGGACGGTCTGGGATTCTCGTGCCTTTGTCCGCGATACCACCGCGGACAAGTTCTCCGCCCGCGGTGTTCCCTGTGTCTTCCTTGGCTTTGTCCCTGACGCGCCTGGTTGGCAGTTTTACCACCCCACCTCGCGCCGTGTCTTCCCCTCTCAGGACGTCACGTTCGACGAGTCGGTTCCCTTTTACCGTCTCTTCCCCTACTGCACTGCCCCTCTCCCCCCCCCCCCGCCGCTCTTCCTCGCTCCAGGTGCTCCCCAGGTAGACCCCCTCCCCGCTCCTGGTCCTACTCCTTCAGGTGTGTCTCAGGTAGACCCTCCTCACTTGACTGGGCCGGTTGAGGTCTCTGGTGACTCAGGTCTTGCTGAGGGTGGTCCTGCTTGGGGTGCTGCTTTTGGGGGTGCTGAGCCTGGGGGTGCGGAGCCTGGGGGTGCTGAGCCTAGGGGTGCGGAGCCTGGAGGTGCTGAGCCTGGGCGTGAGGAGTCTAGGGGTGCTGAGCCTGGGGGTACTTAGTCTGGGGGTGCTGCACGTGGGGTCGCTGAGGCGTCTGGTGAGCAGTCTCCCTGGAGCGGCCGTCTCCGTAGTCGCTCCGCTGGTGCCTCGCCGCTGCACTCTCGTCGTCGTCTCCCTCTCTCCCCACAGCAGCTGCGTGAGTGGTACGCTAGCCGTCACGGTCGAGCTGCTGGAGCTGGGGGCCTTGCTGCAGGAGGTGCTGGTGTTGGAGGCACTGGAGCCAGCGCTGTCCCTCTCTCCGCGCTGCAGCTGCGTGAGTGGTACGTTAGCCGTCAGGGTCGCGCTGCTGGAGCTAGGGGCACTGGTGCGGGAGGCGATGGAGCTGGTGACTCTGCTACTGGAGTTGTTTCTACTGGAGTTCCTAGAGCAGCTGGTCCCGGAGGTGCTCGTACTGGAGGTCCTTGAGCTGCTGGGACTGGAGGTCCTGCTGGACCTGGAAGTGCTGCTGTCGACTCTGAGGTTGGAGGCCCTGGAGTTGGAGGTGCCGGTTCTGGGGGTGCTAACGCTGGTGGCGCCGGAGCTAGAGGTTCTGGAGTTGCTGCGGGTGCTGGCGCTGGAGATTTTGGAGGTGCTGCGGGTGCTGGCGATGCAGGTTCTGGAGCTGTTGGAGGTGCTGGCGCTGGTGGCGCTGGAGCTAGAGGTTCTGGAGCTGCAAGGGGTGCTGGCGCTGGAGGTTCTGGAGCTGTTGGAGGTGCTGGCGCTGGTGGCGCCGGAGCTGGAGATTCTGGAGCTGCTGCGGGTGCTGGCGCTGGAGGTTCTGGAGCTGTAGGAGGTGTTGGAGCTACTCGTGCTGGTGGCACTGCACCGCCGCGATTGTTCTTCGCTCCGCCGTCACCTTCGTCTCTGCCACCGCGTGGCTCCGTCCTTCGCCAGGTTCTTAGCCTCCCGTCTTCTACTAGTCTTCCGTTACAGCCTGGCTCACCGCTACCTACTCCTTCTCCTTACACTGGGCTGATAGGCGGTCTAGCTGAGCATCGTGAGCCTGCGTCTCGTCCTGTCTCGCCTGTTCACACTGTCCGCACTGGTCGTACTGGTCGTCGTGTTCCTCATGAGCGTCCGCCGGCTGTCCCCGGCACACACCTCATGGCCCTGCGACCTTCCTTTGCTCCGCAGCGTGTTCCCTTGCCGTCCCCTCCTGCGTCTTCTCTGCCTGACGTTCCAGAGCCTGAGTCTGACCGGGCTCGTGCTGCTCACCCTACTGTTACCGGTCTGCTAGCCACTGTTGTCACTGACTCGTCGTTTGAGTCTGCTGCTGCGTATGCCTTAGTCGCTGAGCTTATTGAATTTGCTGCTGCCTGTCGTCTAGACTACGTCGCTAGTCTTGTTGCTGAGTCTGAGTCTGTCTGTCCTCCGTCCGTCAGGGGTGAGTGTGCTCTTGGCACGGACGTCCTTGAGGACAGGCAGGAGGACCTCGATTGTCTTGC